CTTATTTAAACCCTCTTTTTATCTATATATCTTTGCCCATGTAAGTAATATTTTAATAGTTGGTTTGCATTCTTTTATTAATACTTTAAGACTTGAATCTTTGTGGGTTTGTCGATGTATATGTCTATGTCTTTATTAATGTATGTGTGTATGATTGCTTATAGATGCTGTTCATTGTGTGTATATGTGTCTGATATTATATTCCTTTTCTTTTTTATTTGTCGTGAACATCTATTTCCTGCTTCGTTCTTGTTTTTGCGTGTTTATATATCTAAATATGTCTACGTGTTTGTATATTATAATATGATTGTGTATGTATTGTCATTTGTAAAGCTTCTTCCCCTGCCCACATCATCTGAATTCAGATTCCTTCAAATATATCTAAGTGACGATGTTTGAATCTCCTAAGATTAGCATTTGCTCTAATTATAAATTTGGCTTTTCGATTGAGATACAAAATAAATAATAATAATAATATATATGTATATTTTCCTCAGTTTCTTTAAATAATTTTATAATATTTTAAACTTAATACAGGTTAAATTTAAAATTGGTAATTTTTATTTTTAAATTTATCGTAAAATTTAAAATTAATCAGAATGATTTCTATTTTAGACTAACATTAACATTAAGGCATTGATCATTATAAACAATGTTCATTGTCAAGTTTTTTGAATTCTCCTATACTTGTATTTTGATTGGTTATTGTATTAGGTTGGTGCAAAAATAATGACGTAATAATGTCGTTTTTTAACGTATAACGTCAAAAAACGACATTATTATTCATTATTTTTTCATTTGTTATAATATAATTTATAACGAGGGTGTTTGGTTGATTTGAACGTTTTTAAAAAATCTTTCTTTTCTACATTCAACACCATCACTTGAGAAGACACCATATATATTGAAACAAAATGGTTATTTTTGTAGTGATGTTATAAATGTGTTTAAGTTATAATTTTTGAATATATATATATATATATATATAAGGTGCAATGGTAAATTATATATATTTTGTTGTTTGTGTTTGATTCTCTCGACTGCACAGTATAGTACGACCAGTTTTATATTTTTTTAGTCGCCTGGAACCAAAATATTTTTTGTAAAATATTTTGATGCAACTATATATATATATATATATATATATATATATATATATATATATATATTTTTTTTTTTAAAAAAAATTATAACATAAGTATGTTATAAAATCACTACAAAAATAGCCATTTTGTTTCAACACACTCTGTGTCTTATCAAGTGATGATGTTGAAAATAAAATAAATGGTTTTAAAAGTTTCAGATTAATTAACGATCCTACACTAGGGGGAAACATTGTTACAAAAGCTAGAATAACCAATCAAAAAACCAAGTATAGAAAGATTCAAAAGCTTGACAACGAAATCATGTTATAATAGCTATTCAGATCTTTAAAATACGTGTAATATTAAAAATAATTTATACTAACCAATAATTATAAAATTATATGATAAAATTTAATATTAAAATTAAAAACTGGCAATTTTAAAATCCAAATTTAATCACTATTAAGTTTAAAAACTTATATATATATATATATATATATATATATATATATATATATATATATATTAACACACTTTGAGACTGGTGAGGAAAAGGATGCAATGCTCAGCCACCGGTTGAACGATGGGTAAACACCTGTAACTATTTTTATATCTAAAGTGAAACATTACATACCAATTATTTGCGGGGGCTTCGACGTGGTGCAATGGTTAGCAAGCTTGTCTCGCTAGAACAATTACGACTGAACAGTGACTTCGATCCTCATTGGGTTCCCCATACTTTCGGTCTTGGACCGCATCTAAACTACGCTTAGAAAATTACCATAGCAATTATTTGCGAATTTTGACTCAGACGCTCTGGCCGAATGGTTAAAATTGTTCAGGAACGCAGGACTTAAAGGGTTAACTCAGGTGCATTTCAGTAGTACGTCTCACATGTCATAAAGCTCAGATTCCTATTCGAAACAAAAACAAAGCAATGTCTAATCATACCAGAGGGTGCTTAATATATATATAATGAAAATCTTGATAATCCGTATGGATAAAAGATGAAACCCAGAGAGCTCAATGTTAAATCAGAGCGATTAACTTAATTTAATGAAAACAGGCAACTTTAAAGGTCAATGGTTATAATTTATTCCCCCAGGGAGTTTCTTTTTCTCTGGATGATCAGACCTCACTTCCAAGGATGAAACCTTGGAAATGAGGCTATCCTTGGAACTGAGGTCATCCTTGGAAGTGAGGTCTGATGATCCAGGGAAAAAACTCCCAGGGGAAATAAATTATAAACATGGACCTTTAAAGTTGTCTGTTTTCATTAAATTAAATTAATTTGAATAATATATATATATATATATATATATATATATATATATATATATATATATACGTGCTAATACCCTTGGGAAAGGTATGTATCCTCTTCATCTCCCTCCAGCTATGGGTAAAATAGCAGGACAGACTGGGTTCTATAGCCTTGGATGGCAACTGGTCTAGGAGAAGGACAACTCTGAATTCAAAACCTGCGGAGGGTCGTTTGGGAACCTTGTGGCATGCATTCGGTGCACCAGGTTTCTGTATTCGTCCCTCCAAAAAGTGTGGCTGGTCCTGCACGAGGCCTTCACCACTATAAATAAATTTCATGTGCCGGTGTCGGGATGTCGGTTCCCTGGGGACTTATCGGCCTAACCCTCATACGTCGAACGCGACGGGAGAGTCGATTATATATATATATATATAGTTGAATTAGTGTCAGTTAATATATGTCGATGATTTGTATTTTTTTTTTATTTAGGACTTACCGGACGTGCTAATACCCCTAGGAAAGGTATGAATGCTCTTCTTCTCCCCCTACTGATGAGAACAGAACAGACTGAGTTCTATAGCCTTGGGTGGCATCTTGTCTAGGAGAAGGACAACTCTGAATTCAAAAACTGTGGATAGACGTTTAGGGACCTTATGGAACTCGGGTCCCTGCATTCGGCTCTTCAAAAAAGTATGCTTTATAATCTATATTCAAAGTGTGGTTTATAGTCTATAATCAAAGTGTGGTTTATAGTCTATAATCAAATCATATTTGCATGTGTCTGACTGTCAGTTCTTAGGAATTGAGGTGCCTGACTCTTATACATCGTAAAAGGGTACCCGGTAAGCGCAGATCAACAGCCCACGTCGATCAATGATATATATATATATATATATATATATATATATATATATATATATATATATATAATCTATGCGACGCAGAAAATGACGAGATGATAAACATGTTCGAGAGGTTTGCATTTGCAAAAGATACACAACATACGAGTAAAAGGAATGAAAATAAAGCTTTATATCATGTTGTATTAACATGTTCCTGGGCATATATATATAGATAGATATATACCCGGGGTTATATTTTCCGATTTCTTTTTGAATTTGTAGGTCTGATGAATTGGATCGTGATTACGATTCCAATGTAATAAATTATAACCATGGAATATTAGTGTTTGAGCCTTTTTATTTTATATCTATCTATCTATCTATCTATCTATCTATCTATCTATATATATATATATATATATATATATATATATATATAATAATATCAGTTGTCAATAAAATTATGTAAAACAAAGCATAATATTTTTCTAAATAAATCCACATTACGACCAAAAACGTTTTTATACCTCTCTTCTTTTCTTTTTAATATATATATATATATATATATATATATATATATATATATATATATATAAAATTTTCAAGAGGATAGAGTCCAGGTATATATATATATATATATATATATATATATATATATATATATATATATATATACCAACTGTTACATTAGAACATTCAAATTACTCCTTTTTATCTTAATATGTTTTATTAAAATTGAAAACTATTATCGACACCATAAGTAAGATATAATATTAAGCCAATTCATGCCCAACCTTACTACCAGTAATTTACGAATATTAACAAAATTAATACTTCAAAACTAGATTAAACACTAAGGATAACATGAAAATGTTTTTATAGAAAGATCATATAACAAAAGATGACTGACTATTGAGTTATAAAGTTTAGCAAGATTTTAAGTTTAATTCTTTAATATGTTAGCAATTTACCGTGTTTTCATATCTTTGATTTAATTATTTATGAATATTCTAGAATTTAATTATTTCCATTTTCACGTTCATATTCTAGCTTTTTTGAGAATTTTCAATTTAACTTTAGGTGTTTTGTTTTCCTCTTTCAATTTCCAAAAATGTTTAGTAAAAGTAATGTCGTATTTTATTTGTTATCATTATTAAAGTATGAGAGATGTTTATAGAAACGTATATATATATATATATATATATATATATATATATATATATATATATATATATATGTGTGTGTGTGTGTGTGTGTGTGTGTGTGTGTGTAAATCCAGAGACGGATATGCAATGTGGCTAGCCTTGATATTACATCTCGTTTACCGTCGCTCTCTCACAGAGGTGACGTCGCCTTTTGTCTGTCTTTTTTTACAAATACTTTCACAGTAAAATACTCCGAGGAGTTATTTTCGCTGGTTCCCAAAGTGCATGAATTTAAACGAGTCACTAGGTCGGCATCTCAGTCCCACCCACTGTCGAAACGGTTAAACGTAGCCACCCCTTCTACTCCAATAGCTTCATGCCTCGCACTTCCCGTCTATGGAACTCCTTTCCTCTTACTTGCTTCCCTGATAGCTATAATCTCCAAACATTCCAATGTTAATCGACATGTCCAGATGTCTTGATCTATTCCCTGTCCTTCTCTTCATCCTTTCCTCTTTCACGCCTATTTACTCTTATACTCTCTGTGTGCTTGCTTGGGCTGAAAAGTTTTAAAAAAATAGCTCAGGAGCATTTCAATACAACGTATTACATGTCATAAAGCTTTCTTTTCATTGCTTTTACTCGTATATTGTGTATCTTTTGCATGTGCAAACCTCTTGAATATGGTTATCTTCTCGTCACTTTCTGCGTCGCAGAGATTCACGATAGCGTTTTTTTTTTTTTTTTTACTTGTGCAGATGTCGGCTGCCTACTTCCATTGTATAGTGTCGATGGTAGAAAGCCCGTTACGATCCATGAGCTATCATTACTTTCTATTTGTGCACAGCGGAAAATAACAAGACAGATTCATTGGCAGAAAAAAAAATGGAGGAAGGTTAAACACGCACAGTTCATTGACAGGCTCAATGCTGTGATTCTCTTCCACTCTCGCTGGTTCATTGAGGAAGGCAACAAGTGTAGAGAAGAGACCCAGAGATATTTTTTATGATGGCGTTGTTGTTTTGGTAAGCCAATTGCGAAACGCTACAAATAGAAAAAAGGAAGAAGAAAGGTTAAGATTTAGGAGGAGTAATAAAATGGCGGACTCCGATCTCATCTTCTCATCAGTTTTTTTTTTAGCAAAAGAAAGTGAGGGAGTTCGGTTAGAAAAACGCGTGTAATTTTCACATTTTTTAATTAAAATCTCTCTTTGTATAAATGTCCATCTGTTAAGTAACATCATTTTGGCAAGATTTATCTATTGTCTTCTGGAAGCATCTATATTCATATCACTATATATATATATATATATATATATATATATATATCATTTTCTTCTATCTATCTATCTATCTATCTATCTATCTATCTATCTATCTATCTATCTATCTGTGTGTTCATATTTATCTATATGTGTGTTCATATCTATTAATCTATCTAAATGTGTGCTCATAGCTATCTGTGTGTTCACATCTATCTATCTATCTATCTATCTATCTATCTATCTATCTATCTAAATTTATCTAAATCTTTCTATTAAAATATCTATCTATCTATTTATCTATCTATCTATTTTTCTATCTATCTAAAATCTGTTATCTATCTATCTATCTATCTATCTATCTATCTATAAATGTTCTATCTATCTAAATATCTATTCATATATATCTATCTATCTATCTATCTATCTATCTATCTATCAGCTCCGGAATAAAAAAATATTATTAGAAATGTGCACAAGAATCATTTATAACTTTAGCATTGAATCTTCTTGTGTTGTTGTTTCAACATTGTTCGTCTGTCACTTTTTAACAAGCCATGCAAGTCCGTATTTTTCGGCCTAAAAGTCACCTTCAATTTCATGCATTAAAATTTTAAAAATGCGAGGTAGGGGGAAACAAGAACAGGCAAAATTCATCTGCGAAAATGACTATTTTCCAATCATCACCACCTATTTTGATCTATCTATCTATCTATCTATCTATCTATCTATTAAACTTGTATTCATATTTTCATCTATTTATCTATTTATATATATATATATATATATATATTTATATATATATATATATATATATATATATATATATGCACACACACACACACATATATATATATGTTAAAAATGTCGGATTAATAATAAATCCATTAATTGTTTAGAAATTGCTTTGTTTACATTTTGGATATGAAACAGAGCAGATATGGGTTTTCGAGAAAAGCTGAATGGGGTGACATTTATTCCTTAAAAGGATAAATAAAACCCTGCTGCCCTTATAATTCTTCAATCTTGGTTGAAATTATTTTTGCAGTGTTTATCAACCTTATCTTCCTTATGGACCATTTTTGGTGTAATTTTCAGGCCCGCACCAGCACAAATAGAAAAATCCCATGTTATATGAAATATATATTTTATTTACAAAAGCAAAATGTTGTAGAAAATATAAATCCTGACTTATGACTCCACTGCTCCTGGTGTCTGTGCATCAGTTTTTTTTCAGTTGAACTTCCACGCATTGGTTGAGCCTCAGGCGCAAGACTCTTCTCTTTTCCGTCTGTAATAAATTACGTTTCCTTGTGAGAAGTCTACCACAGAAATTCCCGCCTCAACCAACTATGTGACGGGAAAACCAAGTAAGAATGGAACAACCTTTTCAAAGAGGAATGGATGGTAGGATTTCACTTTCAACCACCCATTCAATCCTTCACTTTCAATTCTTCCTATCAATAACTTGTTCTCTTACATTTCAAGAAGTTCTGCAACAGCAATAGGATTAATGTCTTGCCTACTTAAGACATGAAAGTATACCCTGTCCATAATTGGTTTAGGCGGGATCAGTTCTATGATGTCTTTAAATCTTCGTTTCATATCTTTTTTTAATCATTTCACTCCGAGCAAGGCAATAAAGCCATTAAGACGCAACGGTGTTACTGAGTGTTAGAGAAGGGAAAAAAAATAAAAGAGAGGATAATAAATCATTTCATTCTTGTTTAAGGTAATAAAGCCACTAAGACGCAACGGTGTTACTGAGTGTTAGAGAAGAGGAGAAAAACTACTATTAAGGAGAGAGGATAATAAATCATTTCACTCCAAGCAAGGTAATAAAGCCACTAAGACGCAACGGTGTTACTGAGTGTTAGAGAAGAGGAGAAAAACTACTATTAAGGAGAGAGGATAATAAAAGAATAAGAATTAAGAAGACAGGATAATGATTGACATTTCATTTAAATTTTGGAAGATCAAACTAAACAGTGAAGCAAGAAGCTGGAAGAGAGTTCCACATACGAGAAGTACGAGTGAATAAACTATTATCATAGAACTTAAGATTACATCTAGCCAATTCAACTGTAAAATGATGAGACCTTTTTTTTTTTATCTAGTACTGAATTTAAATTCATGAAATCTTGGTAGCATAGAGAAAAGTAAACATTTTTTTTGTAAAATACAAACATGTGGCATAAAACAAAAAAAACAAAGAAATTCTGGTTTATTCTGTCTTATGACTAAACTTAGCCAAAATTAGTAACAAACATACCACAGTATTCCTTACATGAAAACAATACATTCTTACTTACGGTTGTAAGCGAGTTATCAAAAACAACAGTAGAAAACTAGAATTGGTTTAACAACAAGTTTATTAACTTTTGGTAAAGGGAAACATAATGTAGACTAGAAACTAGGGAAGATAATGTCTAACCGTGAATAACTAATTGTTTTCAGTAAAAACCTACTGCCGCTACTGTTCCTTCTGCTACTCCTCTTGATGTGGGAATATTTTTATGTTTTTCATCCGAAGGCCGACTCCAAACTTGTAGGGAGATATTCTCCCTCACGACACTTACCATTCTTACTACAGCCACCATAATAACCCCAAATCTCTTTGAAATCAGATTTAGTCTCCATAAGTACAATTTTTATCTGCGGAGGGGAGGGGAATAAAAACAACAATGTAAAATCTAACCCTAATGTAGATTTACAATATTTACCCTAGGGCAGGGGTCAGCAACCTTTAGCTAAGTATGTGCCCACTTAGCTTTTTAAAATCATTCAGTGTGACAACAGCATATGTATTTTTTTATACAAGTCAAGGTCAATAAACCTGTTCTACAATATATTTTATATAGTAATATATAGTATATATACTTTAGTATATATTAAAATTGAAACAGCTAAATATCTTCTTTACGTTTTATTAGTTATTGGTTCGGACTTCGTGATGTCATTTGCGGCTGCGTGCCATTGGAAACTGCTTGGCGTGGCACGCGTGCCGTAGGTGGTAGGCTCCTGCTATTGAGTATCATAAGGGAATTTCATCAGAACAATTACCATGAAGGTTTTTTTTTATATAGAAAACGCATAGGTAAGTTACGTTACAGAAGTAGGAAATTGACTGAAGCCGCGATGCTAGGCCAGGCCCAATAACATTGCAGATTCTTCTTTTGATGTTATCAAAAATCTCTAAATATATAGAAGAAGGGCTAGATAGAGCAATATTCAAAGCAATGATGAATGCTTGTCTTATAAATGTGTAAAATAGATTCTTGCGAGAAAAATTTGCCCAGGTGTAAGTTTTGAAATTGTTCAGCACAGCTTGCGTTGAATCCTGGGGTTGGAGCAGTTTTGGCCATATTGCAAAATAGGAAAAAAGGAATGAAGGGAATTTTCATTATTTCGCAAATGCATCTTCTAGAGGCTTAAGTTGTTCATAGGAGAGCGTGCTTTATCAACACAGTCCCGCACATTAGCATATCGTCCTTGCAATGTCTTGTTGAGTTGTTTGACATAAGCAAATAAGTTAGCCAGGTCAAAAATACTTGCCCTCGTTTCATTTTTTATTCATTGCTAAAAACAAAGTTTAGTTTTCTGTTTCTTATTGCAAGTTTGGGTTTAATGTGATGAACAAAGATAAGTACCATATACCATATTTCAGCTAGACAGACGTGTGCATTACCCATGGAAAGACACCGCATTTGGCTGTGCATGACAAGTGATTCGCGATCCTCATTTTCGCATAAGGAAATGATTTATCAATATATGGAGTGGTAAATTCTTTTCATTCTGCAATTAATCCATTATGTCTGCTAGTCATAGCGTTGACACTGTGACGGTTACACACCTGGCCCAGGGTCGAATCCCTTGGTTACGGCGCCAACTGTGACGTCGCTCCTCCTGGTCGCTCCTCCTGGTTCCAAGCGTGCCGCTCCAACCCCTTGGTTGGATGATCACCAGCCTCGCCTTTCCCAACTCGCTTCCAATACCTGGTTACTGAAGCAACTGTACTGATCTCCGGTCTGTCTACCCACGTTGTGTTTAGATCTTAGACAGACGGGACCAGCAGGGATTGGGGCCGATACAAGTTGAGTCCGACGGGGTGGCAAAACACAAATAAAAAAAAAAAAACTCACGAGACAAAAAAATTACTGATAAAAAAAAAAAAATGACAACCTTTTATATCTAATGTCCGTTACATAAAAAAAAAAATTGTTCTTATTTCCCGACCCGCTCTGTGGACTATGGCACCAAGCTTCTATCACACAACCTAAAGATTTCGAATTGCCTACTCTTTAGAATTGTGTATGTCGGAGTGTGGTTTGGTTCGACACTGGGGCTAATTTCTATCGATCATTCGCAGTTGATTCTTCTCTTCGACTTGAGTTGTATTTCTTCTTCTTCGTCTTCTTCTGATAGGAACTTCTTGTCTTCGACTTGGGCTGGATTTTCTTCGGTCTTTCGGTGGAATCTTTCTTCTTCGTCTTCTTGGGCTGGGGCTGGAAGTTCTCTTGTCTTCGACTTGGGCTGGAAGGATTTCTTGCCGCAACTCAGCCGCAACTCTCTGTCGTCCGAGGTGATCTCTTCTCTCTCTGCCACAACTGCCGTCCAGGGCTGAACTCTTCTGTCTTCGACTTGGGCTGGGAGGATTTCTTGTCTGAGGATTCTTTTGCCCGCAAAGGGGCGAGTGAATCGGGCCCGATGCCCGCGTTCAGGCTCTATCCCTGCCCGCGGTCCAGCTGCAACTCCACTCCAACTGATTTCTGTCGACTGGGGTCCTGCTTTTATTGACGCCGCAACAAACTGGGGTGGGTCTGTCGGCGTCAGGGTTTTCTCAATAATTCCAAAAGTCGCATTATTTTTGATTTCCCATTATCGCTATTGTTTTCACCCCTACTTCCTCACAGTGCCTTTTGTGGGGAGGTGCACACCCATCTCTCTTAGTCTCTCGTATGTCAGGTGACCGTTTTTCGACCAATGGTTCCTGATCGGGCATTTCTTTCTCTTCTTTTCTGCAGATCACGTGACCGTTTCCGACCAATTGTTCTTGATCGAGCATCCTTTCTCCTCCTTTCGGGCGTGGTTTGGCGGGCGTCGTTCTTTCTTTTTAAAAAAAAAAAAAATCCAATTTTGCCCTTTTTTTGCACGTACGAAAAATGACAATCTTGGCTTTCTCTCACCTGGGCTCTGTCAAACAGCCCGCCGCTAATTAGATGTGACTTCAGGAAGAATATTGGCGCTATCTGTGAA